TCAATTCTTCTACATCACTGTCAAATGAAGAGAAAGAGTAGTATAGTAGTATCATGACTTTAGATTTTATTTCTAGTGAGGAATCTGCAAGTGATAGTGAGGACTGCCGAACATTTGTGATTCGTCCATTTCCTTGGATCTCAGAAGTAAAATTAATCATGGCAAGTCTGGATAGAAAGTCCCAGAGAAGAAGGTCAGAGAGGGAGACTGAGATGATGGTTAAGAGAAAGGTTGGGATGAATTCATCAAAAAGAGAGTGTCCAGAAGATTGTCCAACATGGGCCCATACCTGACACCAAGAGTGGATTTTAACTTAAAACATGTCTATATGATTTAGTATTATTTATTAAAAGTTTATAACTTCTTAAAAATTGGTATTATTTATTAAAAGTTAAAGACTTTTTTAAAATTATGATTTAGAACTTGTAACCATTTTGAAAAGATTTTTTAAATAATTATTATATAAACAAATAAACATGAGTTTGGCACTACTGATACCATTATTTGCTTATAAGTAAATAATACATTTGGAAGTCATTCACATAAGTAGTAAATTGATTAGAAATTTAGCATTTAAGTAGCATGTAAATATATCCTGAATGTGATATTCACCATATTTAAACCCCTATTCAAATAAAGAGTAAACAATATATTTGACAACTGTCAAATGTCTGTAAATATAATTTTTGACATGTATTTGCATACTTTTACGAACTATTTCAAATAAAATTGTTTATCTTGTGAAAGGACTTATGACCTACGACGCTACGACAACTTTATCAGCTTGCTCGTTGCTAGGATGTCACTAAGTAAATTTAGCCATGCCCACTACTGTTATTCAATGAAGTTGTGTGGAAAGAAGAGCTTCATACATTTTCACGCCATCTTGAGGAGGATGACAGGCCACTAAATACAAAAGAGTAAGTTAGAGATGTAGAAGTCAGTGAAAGAAAAGTCAATATATACATTTTAGCAACTAAATAATTCGCCAAGGCTACAATTCACAGTGTCATACTTTGTGAATTTTTTGTTACTATAGGGCTGACTAGAAGAGACTGAACACTGAAAATAGAGAGGTACATGTAGGTGCCGTAACTAGCAATACTGTTTGTGGTAGATGAGGAAACAGTCACTGTCAGCATGACCGCTATGGCAAAGGTACAAGTTGCACTCGGTGCACATCCAAGTTGTGTCTTTCCTCACACTGTGTAGCTTGCATAAATGACAAGGATGTTGATGGCCATCTCCTTTCAAAGGAAATTGATCAGACTGGAATCGTTTTCTGAGTATAGTGAGATGTCTCCCCTTTCTCTTCCTGGAACAATACCCATTTAGCAGTTCCTTACCTAAGGAAATTCGAAAGTCCTTTGTGGACCGTGTCATGGAAGACAGAGACTCAGAGGTGGAAGATAAAGTAAAGGTATTGGATGTCAAATAACATCCAGTAGAGATATTTATAGTATATACGACACTTGAGACAGATGTGATAAAACTGGCGAAGTTGGTTGTTGCGATCTACTCCGCCCATGTACTTGTTGTACTGTTTGATTGCTTGTGGACAGGAGTAGGTCTGATGTTCACCAGTCTTCAGTTTACATGTCACAGAGTCTAGGGGAATGGCTTTACACTTGGTAGCAGTAACTGTGACTGGTTTAGTGTCTTGCCAGACAGAGATTGAGATTAGGCAGTATTTCACTTTGTAGTGTCATACTGTCTCCATTGTCAGGGACACCACACTTCAGTTAAGGTGTAAGCTCAGATGAAAAATGCTTACGGTTGCTCCTTAAGGTTCCACAGGCATATATTGCAACAGATAAAAGGTCAGAGAATAGCTGAAAACTCGAGAAAACATTGTCACAGTAGACATGGTGGTTATGGTGTTGGATGGTCACAGTTAGATTTTTCACAACACGAGATCCCAAGCCTTTCTCAGTGGAAGATGTTTCCTTTCCAGTATAGACTTTGAACTGATAAACATAACCATTCATGCTGTCTACTCTCACTAACACCTTGAAACCTCTCTTTATAGGCTTCTGAGGCATATACTGCTTGAGAGAGGAGCGACCTTTATAAGGAACGATAGCCTCATCTATCGCACATTGACAGTGAGGGTGATTCACGACCTTAAATCTCTCTCCAATCATGGTCAAGAATTGGCAGACTTTGTATAGACCATCAGTTGGTGTTGTGATGGTAGTGTTGTTTACAAAATGCAGGTAACGGTGAATCTCATAAAAGCGGTCTCTGGACATACCGTTGGCAATGATGCTACAGTGGAAGAGAGGATCTCTATGCCAGTAGTCGCTCAGTGCAGGTAGCCTCGTCAAGCCCAAGAATATCATTATACCAAAATATGCATTCATGTCCTCTGTGCTTATTTTCTTCCACTTCTGAAACTTCTTGTCCCCCATACAGAGACCGATTGGTTTCAGTAACGATGAAGTCCATTATGACTGAGGTAAAGAAGAGCTAAAACACTTTCAGCAGTGAGGAGGAACTGGTACAGCTGGACCAACTAGCTTAGTCAATTCAGCAACATAGACTTGTTCCAAAAGATTGGTCCATTTACAGTCAGTAATACTACATTTTATACTTACATAACATATTCTTTTATTTACACATTGCTGCAGGTGTAGATGGTGAAAATAAGTCCGTATCTCCAGCTGGAAAGGAAGAAGTGGTAGCTGGTTTATTACCTGTTTCATAATCTGTATAAGTATTTGCAACAGTATCATCAACAGTCACATCAGTTGCAAGAATACAATTTCAAATTTCAAAAATAAATATGTATCACTATTTTAGTTTGAATTGTCTAACCATTTATCATCATCCTCAAAACCAAGTTCATCATCAGAGTCTGGACAATAAACTTCATGAGATTCGTCATCCATGACTAGATCTAATGCCTCTTCCACATTATATTGTCTAGCCATGTTATCAAACTTGAGGACACAAATAAAGCACTTAAAACCACTTATATAACAACTAGCTACTCTTTTGACAGCAAAGATTAGCGCTTGTTGCTATGTAATTGCTGGACGTAAAAATACATAGTTCGTAATTGAACTAGTATTAATCTTTACTTAAAAATATGTATTTCGTGATAAGAGGGTTAATGCTTTAAAAATGCTCAATAAGCACTTTTAAACAGATGTGCTTCAGCATAAGCACAAAGCACCTCAACCTATGTCAGTGTGTGATTGAAAACACCTTCAAGCACTTCAAAAAATAGCTTAGCACTTCAGCACAAGCACTTCAGTGCTTGACCCCATGCCTAATTAGTATACCATAAATATTACATACTACATGTGGATACTATGGTATTTTTTCGGAATTGTATTATTTTACTGTCTATAACACTTAATTGTTAAAAGTTGTTACTAATACAAGAAAGGTATTTAGTCATAAGTATCGCCATATTTTAAAGTGAATACAATGTGATATAGTGGTGGGCGATATATTAAGATTTTATCAATACAAACGATATTTTACGGTATCGATTCGTATCAGTATTGAAATTTTGAAGGAATCTGGATCGATACATTGACCACGCCCATTTATGATACTTAAATAATATTATTAATGAAAAATTTAATAAGTTAATGACGGATAATACTCACATGTGCATGAAAACATTGATGAAAACAGTTAATAATAAGGGGTGTGACTCCATATGTATGGTCTAAATATCGCATCAAAACAGTATCGATACTCCCTATATCAGCTGATATTGATTGGTTTCGTATTGAATCCATTTTGGCCAGTATCGCCCACCACTACTGTGATATGAAATTCCCAATAACCTCCAGCTGTACTATTAAGGTTAATCTATCATTTTATAGTCTATCATCCCACCATTTAGTAATACTCTTCCAGTATAATTTCTATTGAACTCAAGAACAGGAAAACTTTGAACTGTGCATTATGACCAAATAAAAGATGAAGCATGTGTAAATGAATGAGAACACCCATCATTAAGTTTTATTGTAAAAACTGCTCACCTGCCAGATGGTTAAGAAAAACGGATTTTATTTTAAGTTCATACAGATATTGTGCAGGTCTAGTAGGTATTATGCATTTACTTAGGAGTTACAATTGTGTGATACTTATGTGAAATTTCTCACTTCTTTCATATGAACTATTTTTGGCTAAATTTCAACAAATATTATAGCTACTTGTTCAGTTACTCTGAGTAGTAAATAGGTAATATAAATATAATACCTTAATAGAACTTTTGTAGAAAAAAATCTCTATCTTGCTTCAGAACAGTAGACTCTGAATTATTCTTATTAAGGCATGCAACATCAATTAAAATATCAAGCTACGCATTTTTTCAAAACGTCATAATTATAAAAGAAACAGAATGTATTTGAAAAAATAAAGAATACAGCTGTGTTAATAGCCTTTAGTACTCTTCATATCACTACCAAAAGGATTTCTTTGACGACTTTGTTTTTTTGAATTGCGGACCCCACTATACCTCAGTCTTGTCCGTCACTTCATGCATTTTATGCTACTTAATGAAATTGAGACAAGAAGAAACAAATAATTGGAACTTTGAAAAAAAAAATTTCTGAATCCAACCCTGAGGAGTAACTCAGTCTGATCAGTGACTTCTGGTATTTTAAACTATACTATGACACTGACAAAAAAGGAAGAAATACTAAAAAATAAGTAGTGCATAAAATATCACTTCAGAACAAAACTTAAATGTAATAACTAAGTTTGATCAGCACTTTTATCTAAATGATATTATGAAACTTGAAAAACAAGTATTAGTGAGATTTAATACATAAAACATCATTTAATAAAAAAACTTAAACAATAAGAATGCAGTCTGAGAAGAGTCACTTCTGGTATAAACTATTCTATGGGATAGAGTAAGAAAAAAACAAATAGTAAGAACCAGTCCATAAAGCATTGTTTTAAAACCAATTTCAATAGATAAGGACTTAGTCTCATCATACACTTGGAATTTTAAACTAACTATAAAACTAAGAAAAAATGAATAGTGAAAACAAAGAAAAACATGACAAATCATCTAACACAATCGGAATGGGCTGGTTTAGATACTAGGGACTCAAACCTACTTGATTCAAGCAAAAATTAATGATAATGATTGCCCTTAACTCTAAAAATTGCCCAAAATTTCACTTTTTCAATTAAATTCACAACTGGGAGGGGCTAGCACAATAGGAACGGGTTTGTTTAGTTACTAGGTACTACAACTGACTAGATTCAAGCAAAATTAATTATATAAAAATCAGTTTGATGATATCTTCTGGTATTTGTTATACAGTTAAAGTAAGAAAAAAATTACTAAATAATATGAGTATAAAAGAAAATAATCAAAGCAAACTTAACTGAAAAATCGAAGTCAAATCCGTCATTTCTGGTTTTAAACTAAAATAAGAAACAAGTACAAATTTTTTTAGAATCAACTGGAAATGAAACTGAAATACTAAACAAATAGTATAAGTTCGATGTGAAACATTATCTTAAAATAAATTTTAAATGATACAATTCAGTCTGATGAGTCACTCCTGGTATAAATTATACTACGAAAGTGAAAAGAGAAGAAAGAAATACTACAAAGTTAGTGCATGTAACATTTTAAAGCAAGACTCAAATAGTGAAAAGTAAATCTGACGAGTCAATCTCCGTAAAACAACACAACGAAAAGAGAACAGATTAAAGTAGGGTTTCAAAACAAATTCATTAATCACAAGTCAATTTGTTGAGTCACCTATAGGATTTGATATGATACTATGAAACTTATAAAAGGACAAAAATAGTGAGAACTATCTACATAATCTGAAACAACCTCAATAAATAAACACAACAGTCAATTCTGGTATTTTGAACTATACTTGTGGAATAATGATCATCTAGACTGAGCATGCTCAGAAGTTATGCACACACATGATTTAGTATTAATTATTACTATGCATTATTATTATTATTATATATACACATGGTGTAACCAGTTCTTGAGTCTCTTGTCTATTTGTATTGCTCTCTTCTCTCTTTATTCTGATAATAATACTTTGTACTGACTGGTGATTCAGCAGTACACAATCAGAGTAGATAGTTATATTACATGGTGTCAGAAGTGGTCCTGCTATGGCTACATACCGTCTTCCTCCTCCAGAACCGTTCAATTTCAAGCAACCAGCTGAGTGGCCAAGGTGGAAACGCCGTTTTGAACAAGTTTCGAGAGGCTTCAGGCCTAAGTGGAGAGAGTGACACGAAGCAGGTCAATACTCTACTATATTCCATGGGGGAAGATGCGGAGGACACGTTGCTGTCCATGGACCCTACAGATGCGGAGAGAGCGACTTACAACGGAGTAATAGCTAAGTTCGACGGGTTCTTCAGAGTCAGAAAGTATACAATCTATGAGCGCACCAGGTTCAACCGACGCGTT